ATGTGGAGCTTTGAATATCTCTCTGTTCTTTTATTAGGGTGATTTCTATAACTGGCCTGCAAGTGATTGCATCTTGGGTGACAGAGTTTTTCAGCATAGCCTTCTCATATTTTATCACTAGACATATTTTTCTCTTTATGTTAGGTAGCTGCTCATAATCCTTTGAAGGATCACTTATAGCCTTTTTTGCCTCAACTATCCCCTCCCCTCTACAGGGTCTCACACAGCCCACGCTGCCCTGAAACTCCATGTGGCCGAGGATGGCCTTGAGCTCCTGATTACCCTGCCCCTACCTCCCTGTTGGAGCGATTACAGGTGTTCACTAGCATGCTTACTCTAAATCCATTTTAAATGGAGCATAAAATATTTGTTTAAGGGGTTTAAACAGATCCCATTGAAGCTAATTGTTCCTTCATCAGCTTGGTTTATTGTATCATGCCCTATTGCTGTGCAGTGTGGTCACAGACATACAGAATAACACACATTCATTGTCACATTTGTGTGTGTGTGTGTGTGTGTGTGTGTGTGTGTGTGTGTGTGTGTGTGTGGGGAGCCTGGCCACACCTAAACAGTGCATTCAACAAGTCGATAAGGAACCCGGTTAGGTAATGTCTCTTGCAGACTTAGCTGGGCAAGTATCTGTTCCCAGTGTATCAGGCTGTTGGCAGAGTGTGTATCCTTATAGCCACAGGACTGAAGTGCCTTTTCCCCCCTGTTGGTTGTCAACCAGGAGGGAGTGAAGTTGCCACTTTTTTTTTTTCCTGGTTGATTAGCCAGGAGCTGCTTTCAGCTCCCAGACGCTGTCTGCCTCCAGATGTAGAAATACCAACTATTAAATATCACTTGTTAAGTGGGGTTTTTTTTTTTTTTTTTTGGTTTTGTTTTTTGAGACAGGTTTCTCTGTGGCTTTGGAGCCTGTCCTGGAACTCGCTCTGTAGACCAGGCTGGCCTTGAACTCACAAATGTCTGCCTGCCTCTGCCTCCCAAATGCTGGGATTAAAGGCTTGTACCACCAACTCCTGGCATTAAGTGTTTTATTTATGTTTCAAAGGAGCACTCTCTCTCTCTCTCTGTCTCTCTCTCCCCCTCTCTCTTCTATGCTATGTGTTTCTATATGGCAGATGTTGGCTATGCTTGTTTTGTTTGTTTTCTTAGTTCCTAATCTGAAGTCCTAGACACTCCTAAGAGCAGTCATTGCTGTAGGCTTTTGAATGGTTACCAGAGATTTGGAGCAGAAAGAACACGTAAAAGACTGTAATTAGGAAAGCTGAATACTTATGAAACAGTGACCTGAACCCACATCCCCATTTGAATGTTTTTTTTTTGTAAGTAATTTTTGAGTGACTTCTTTTCATTTTTGATGTTTGATTGATTATCACTGACTCGCTGGCTTGCTGTGGTCTCTTAGAAGTTTCTGATTTTTCTTGTACTGAGGATTGTACCCAGGGCCAGGAAGTACTTACTATAGAGCTACAACCTAGCCATAGGCCTATGGGAACTTAACCGCCTAAATGTAAACTCGAAGAGGTTACCCCACAATATATATACAGTTATTGTGTCAATTAAAAAATAAGCATTAGCTGAGCATGGATCCTAGCACTCAGGAGGCAGAGGCAGGCACATCTCTATGAGTTCAAGGCCAGCCTAGTGTGATGGGCTCATCCCTATGGCCTAGTCTGCATAGCAGGTTTCAGGTCAGCCATGGTTACATAGAAAAATCCTATCACTAAAAAGCAGCCGGACAGTGGTGGTCTACACCTTTAATCCCAGCACTCGGGAGGCAGAGGCAGAGGCAGGCGGATCTCTGTGAGTTCGAGGCTAGCCTGGTCTACAGGACAGCCTCCAAAACAATACAGAGAAACCCAGTCTGGAAAAACAAAAACAACAACAAAAAAGCAACGAAAATCCTTCAAAATTAAGTAAATACATGTTTAAGTATCCCTTAAGCTTATAGTCTTACTTTTAGCTGGAATCACTGATTGCCCCTACCCTGTCCACTCCCCTATGTACTGCAATGCTGCTTGGGTGTTCCTCAGAATTAGTATGTTGGGAATTTAATTCTCAAAGCCCTATGATAATGGCTTTGGAGATGGGTCTTTGGAGGAAGCCAGGATTAGATGAGCCCCCTCTCCACATGATGACGGCATCCATGGTTTTACAAGAAGAAGAAACCTCTGCCATCACGGCAGTTGCTTGGTCCTACCATGTGGTGCCATTACATTATGATGCAAATGCCAAGCAGGGTTGACACCCCGTGCCCACAGAGCCCAGCCATAGCTCAGAGGGGGACGGTGTTACATAACCATGGACACCAACAAGCAGCCGTCCCTGGGACAGACCTGGCCAAGTGTCCCAGCACTACCCTTCCAGCTTATCTGAATGGAAAGTTGGGATGACAATGGCAAACCTTATGTAAAAGAGTAAGTTACCCAAAAAGTGACGGTGATATGCTAGCATTTAGTCACCGTGAGAGGAGTCTTCAGTTTGTACTATCACCTGAAAACCAGGTAGTGCATGCCATCATGTAAAGATGACTTTTTTTTTAAAGTTCGGTGGTCAGAAATAGCCCCTAATGGGGTTCATTTTAGCCTAATATGTAAGAGGTCTGAAAAACAGACCTCGTGTACAGTTTTATAATGATTTTGTAGTGGAGGGGTTTCAGAGACATAGTACCTATGCAAGTCTCTGTAGGGAACCAAATGTCTGAAGCGGGTGAGTTTGGGGGCCGGGCGGTAGTGGTGCACACCTTTAGTCCCAGCACTTGGGAGGCAGAGGCAGGTGGATCTCTGTGAGTTTGAGACTGTCCTGGTCTACAAGAGCTAGTTCCAGGGCAGCCCCCAAAGCCACAGAGAAACCCTGTCTCAAAAAACAAAACAAAAACAAACAAAAAAGATTACTTTTGGGACTCTATTCCAACTATCTGTAACTCCAGTTCCAGGGGATCGCATGCCCTCTTCCGATCTTCACAGTCACCAGGCATGGCGGTGGCACACACACATAGATGCAGGCAAAACACCCATACACATAAGCAATATTTAGTGTGTGTGTCTGTGTCTGTGTCTGTATAGTCATGTGTGTGCAGGTAACTTAGGAGTCCACAAGAAGACCCCGAATCCTTTAGAGCCAGAGCTAGGAGCAATGTCCCAGGCAGGTTCTGGAAACCAAACTGGTCCTCTGGAAGAGCAGGACATGCTCTTACCCTCTGAGCCATCTCCCCCACCCCTCATTAAGAAATTTTAAGTTGGGGGGCTGGAGAGATTTAAGAGCACTGGCTGTTCTTCCAGAGGTCCTGAGTTCAATTCCCAGCAACCACATGGAGGCAGAGTGTTGTATATATAATAAATAAATAAAATCTTTAAAAAAAAGAAATTTTAAGTTGGTACTTGAAACTCTTTCCTTTTTCCTCTTCCTCTCCTTTCTTTCTTTCTTTCTTTCTTTCTTTCTTTCTTTCTTTCTTTCTTTCTTTCTTTCTTTTTTTTTTCTTTTTGATTTTCGAGACAGGGTTTCTTTGTGGCTTTGGAGCCTGTCCTGGAACTAGCTCTTGTAGATCAGGTTGGTCTTGAACTCACAGAGATCCCCCTGCCTCTGCCTCCCGAGTGCTGGGATTAAAGGCGTGCACCACCACCTCAGGCTCTCCTTTATTCTTGAGACAAGGTCTCATTATGTATCCTGACTGGCCTAGAACTCACAATATTATCCAGGCTGGCCTTGAATTCTTGGTTCTCCTCCTGCCCTGGTCCCCCAAGTGCTGAGATTGCAGGTATAAGACATCACACATGGATTTTTCTTTTGATTATAATTCTTATAACATTCTCATCTTACTCTAGGAATATTACTATTTTGTGGAGTTGGGGGCTTAAGGCAGTGCCTCCCTAATTTAGCTCTGGCTGGCACTGAACTCACAGAGAGCCACCTGCCTCTGCCTGGAATTCAGGGCAGGAACCACAATGCTTAGTTTACTCTTAACCATGCAATGGTTTTAATGCTTTCTGGTTCCTCATGGCTCCCAAATTTTCAGCTTTGGCTTTCATATATAGAGAACAGAAACAGAATGACTGAACTGAGAAAACTATCAATAGATGCTATACAGTTAGAATAGCCATTCCTTCACTGTATGATTAAATAACTTCCTGATGGGGCCTTTCTGTGTCCAGTCTCTCATTTCCTAAGTTCACGATTTGCACTGCGATTAGTTTTAACTCTCACAGTTCTCATTAAACTTCCCTGATCTTCAAACCCTTCCATGTTTCGAACTTGATGGACTTTCCTTCCCGTTCTCCTCAAGTACTTTCAGGTTGCAGCCAAATGAATCATGGGTTTTATTTCATGCTCCTTGAATAACTAACTGAAAGGCCCCACACTGGCTAACCCTTAACCTCTTCATTTTGCCTGAAGCCTTTCCTGATCTGCTTCCTTCTTCAGTTACCACAGAGCTTGGAAGGACTGCCTCTCTCTGAGCTGTCTCATTTTGTTTGTGATTTGGAGGTACCATGTTCACCTTTTTTGACTCAGCGTGGCAAGCAGAATGGCCACCTCATCTCATTCATGTGTCTAATGCTGGCCCAATAAATGCTCAGTGAAAGCTCTTTCTAAAAGAATCAGAAATTCAAGTGCATTTTTAAAAAAAATTTGAGACAGTCTTATTATATAACCCTGGCTGTCCTGGAGCTCACTCTGTAGACCAGGCTGGTTTCAAACTCACAGAAATCCACCTACCTCCGCCTCCCGAGAGGTGCGATCAAAGGTGCATGTCACCACACCTAGCCTCAAGTGTGTTTTTTTTTTTTTAGGACTTAACCTGAATCAGTAAGAGATGGTTATGTTAGTTCTACTGAGGCGTCGAGTCGATAGCATCATAGATGATCTGGGCACTTTGTTCCTTTCCGTCCTTTAGATGGATTCCCATAGCTTCATCTTTAAAACGAGGATAAAGGAATCCAAGAATAAGATCACTATGAAATGTGCTGCTATTAAATAAAATAAGTGCTTAGTTGAAAAAGTTGAACTTGGGGTTTTTATATTTCCTTACTTGCAAGCCTCATGGAAGTAATAAACATGAAAGTCAAGAGCAATCTGCTGTCGAACTAAGGTCACGCGGTGATCTTCATGGGGGAATGGGTGGAGATCCAGGCTGACTGGGGGCTTTCCATCTGTGCTCTGAAGAGCTCCAAACCACACCTCTTCAGGACAGTGCTATCTGGGAAGTATCTCCCAGGCTGGGTCTTCTCAGGTCAGAGATGGTCTTCTGTTCCACAAAGTGTCCAGCACTGACCCAAGAGTTGAGAAAGGAGAAGTCGATCAGGGAGCAAAGAAGGAAAGATAAGACTCTTAGTGTATAGGTGAATGAATATTCTATTAAGTATTTGAATGATATCAGGAAATTATGAACTTTAAAAAAACAACTCCTTGCTACTCATGTGACTTTTTCATATCTTCTGATCTCTACACCTATTCCAGCCTAGAGCTTGAACTTGATAATGAGAAACAGTTTCTGGCTTAGTCATAGCTATTGCTGAGATACTGTAACTCCTTTTCATTCAGAGGATCAATATGCTGAAAATTTTCTAGTTTTATTTTGTATTTTAAAAGAAGAGATTGTTTACTTATTTTTATGTGTACGAGTGTTTTGTCTGCAGGTGTGTCCTGGCACCGTGTGTCTTCTGCCTGAGGAGTTCAGAAGAGGGCACCTGAGTTTTTGGAATTGGAGTCGTGATTCATGGTCGGGCACTGGGAGCCAAATCTGGGTCCTCTGCAAGAGCAACAAATGCTCTTAGCCATTGAGACTTCTCCAGTCACCATCTTTCCGTTTATAAAAGGAGCTTTGTTGCATTCAGTGTAAGCATAATATAATACTTTAAAATATGTATCTTTATGGAAATCTGTAAAGTTGGCTCAGCTGTTGAGAGCTCTTGTTTTTCCAGAGGACTCAGTTTGGTTCACAGAACCTACATGGTCGCTCCTAACTGTAACTTTAGTTCCAGGAGTTCTAGTGGTCACTCTGTCCTCTGCAGGTACCAGTCATACATGTGGTACACGGATATTACACAGAGGCGGAAACCCCATACACACTTTTAAAAAATCTAAAAATATGCTTTCCATATTTATTTTCATTTTCTTGGATTTCATTGTTTATTGTGGGCAAAACATGGTAGGCACTGTCATAATAACAAGTTTTATTTTTAATAGCAATGATTTAGGGAAACTGTGCTCCTTTTAGTTTCTGAGATGGAGTCTCCGCTTGTGTTCAGGGTCTCCAACCCTGGGCTAAAGGGATTCTTCTGTGTCAGCCACCTGAGTGCTGGAAGACAGGTGTGCACTACCATACCTGGTTGATGTGTGTGGTAGTTTGAATGTAATTGGCCCCTGTAATTTTTTAGGGAGTGGCACTTTTAGGAGATGTGGCTTTGTTGGTGTGGGTGTGGCTGGTGTTGAGGTTTCCTATGCTCAGGATACCACCCAGTGTGTCAGTTGACTTCCTGTTGCTTGCAAGAGTGTAGGTATCCTGAGCACAGGAAACCTCAAAACCTCCCCCTGAAGGAAGTTTACACACGACCTCCAACAGTGTCATACCCACAAGTTCTGGGTTGGTCTGGACAACAGTGTGAGTTCAAGGCCAGCCTAACAAATTAATGAGACTATGTACAAAGTAATCAGACAATAATCAAAATAAAACAAAGAACCCTAGAGCAACCAAGTTAGAAAATTACGAGAGAGACGTAGCCCAGTGGCATAGATCTTGCTCAGTATGAGTTTGGTTATTGGTACTACATAAAAACCAAGAAAGAAACATGACCCATCCCCAGTTCTTGGAGCACACCATCCCTTTATATTTATTTCATGTTTGAGACGGTCTCTCTGTTATGTAGCTCTGGCTGTCCTGAACTTGATATGTAGACTAGGCTGGCCCAAGTGCTGGGATTAAAGTGTTGGTGCCCGACCATGCCCAGTCCTTTACATTTTTTTTTTCCGAGTCAGGTTTCTCTGTGTAACCCTGGCTGTCCTGGAACTTGCTCTGTAGACCAGGCTGGTCTCAAACTCAAAGATCTGTCTATCTCTGCCTCCAATGCTGTGATTAAAGGCGTGTGCCACCACTGCCCGGCTAATTTTTTTAAAGTCACATTTATGAGTGTTGTGTGTGTGAATAGAGGATATGTTTCAGGAGTCAATTCTCTCATTCCAGCATGAGGGTATCTGGGGTCAAATTCAGGGTACCATCAGTGTTGGTAACAAGCACCTTTAGCTGTTGAGGTGTGCTCCAGCTCAAGAACGCACTTTGTTTCAGGCACTGCCAAAGGCATAAATGGACCAGTCCACAGCTTGTTCTCCAGGAGCTCATTTATTAGCAAGTACGGCTCCCTTGATAGACAGTGCCAGTGCAGGTATGAGGAGCACCAGGGGAGAGCTTTTCTGGGGGTCTGTGTCCTTTGACAATGGGATTGATCCTTGATAGATAAACAGGAATCCAATAAGAGCAAGAATAGGGAGACATTGGTACTTTACAAGACAGCATAGTTTCTCGTAGTTTGTTTTTTTTATGTAGGTATAGGGAGGGGAAAAGCTCATGCTACAGTCAGTAGTAATAATCCTGGGTGCCTGGGGGAGAGATCAGAGCCATTAATGCTTATCCTGTGGAGGCAACGTAAGTCGTGGGTGCCTTGGGAGATTCGCTGCAGCACTGGAGAGGAAAGCCTGGGCTAGGGGACAAAAGAAGAAGATGAGGTGTGAGGCTAGTGCACAGTAGGCATAGGAGGTGCCTGTTGAGAATAGACTGCTCCCCTCTAATTCCTGTTGAGAGCTGAGTAGAGTCAGTAATGCTCAGAAACTTGACAGTACTCTTCACAACTGTAAAGATCTATGGTGAAAATTAACTGTGCTAGTTTTCTGATCCTGTGGTCAAACACCTGAGACAGCATGAAGGGAGGAAAGGTTAATTTGGGTTCACAGTTTTGGAATTGTCAGCCTGTGCTTGATTTTTTTTTTTAACTCTTTAGCTCTTTTGGCACGTTGGGGACCCACCACCCAACTCCCAAATAAATACATGGAGGCTTATTCTTTCTTATGAATTCCCAGCCTTAGCTTGGCTTATTTCTAGCCAGATTTTCTTAAGTTATCCCATCTATCTTTTGCCTCTGGGCTTTTACCTTTCTCAATTTCTGTATATCTTTTCTTTCCTTCTTCTCCATGGCTTGCTGTGTAGCTGGGGGACTATATCTGGTGTCCTCTCTCCTTCTTTTCTCGTACCTTGATCTCTTCCAAGATTTCTTATATTTATTCTTTCTTCCTGCTAGCCCTGCCTATCCTTTCTCCTGCCTAGCTATTAGCCATTCAGCTCTTTATTAAACCAGTCAGGTGTTTTAGGCAGGCAAAGTAACAACACAGCTCTATAGGATTAAACAAATGCAACATAAAAGAATGCAACATGCTGGGCGTTGGTGGTGCATGCCTTTAATCCCAGCACTCAGGGGGCAGAGGCAGGCGGATCTCTGTGAGTTCGAGGCCAGCCTGGTCTACAGAGCTAGTTCCAGGACAGCCTCCAATACAATACAGAGAAACCCTGTCTCGAAAAACAAAAACAAAAAAGCCCCCCCCCCGCAAAAATATGCAACATATGTTTGTATCATTAAACAAATGTTCCACAGCATAAACAAATGTAACACTGATAGGGGATATCCTTCTGTATATGTGTTTCTTTTATTGGTTGATGAATAAGATACTGTTTAGCCAGCAGAGACAGGAAGATAGGTGGGGCTAGGAGACAAGGAGGATGCTAGGGAGAGAGGGAGAGAGGCAGAGGTGCCGGGAGGAGACGCCATGTAGCCACCAAAGGAGTAACGGGTCTGGGTATTCTCCGGTAAGCCCAGATCATGTGAAAATACATAGATTTATAGAAATGGGTTAATAATTAAGATAGAGCTAGCCAATAAGAGGCCCTAGCCATTGGCCAACAGTTTCATAATTAATATGGCATCCTTGTGTTTATTTGGGGCAAAGTGGCTGTCGTTCCAGGTGGGACAAGAAACTCCAGTTACATAACACATCTTTAATATTCTACAAGTTGATTGGCCCTGTAATAATGTAGCAAGCTGTTTGCCTGAGGGAAAATGGGAATCAGAGAGAGACAGGAAGGTGCCAGGGTCTGGGACCTCTTCCAAGACATGTTCTAGATGACTTTGTCTCATCAGGCCCTACTTACTTGTGGTGGTTTGAATGAAATGTCCCCCTTTCAAGTCCAGAAAACAGTGTTTCACACCGTGATCCCTTCTTATTCTCTGGCTCTTACATTAATTCTTTCCTCATCTGCAACCTTCCTGAGTCTTGGAGTGATACAGATGTTTTGTTTAGGGCTGAGCACTCAACAGTCACTTTTCTATACATTTTGACCAATTATGAGTCCTTGCTTTAACTGTCACTCCCTGCAAACCAAAGCTTCTTTGACCAAGACTGGGTATGAATGTAATTATTTAAAGCCAGTTTAACTAAGCCGGTTTAGCAAATATTAGTAGCAGGTTTCCTCCTTGGGCCTGTGACCTCCCCAGCCATGGGCTTTTGGCAAGATTTACAGTAGCAGAATTCTCTCTTGTGGAGCAGGCCTAAAATCCTATTAGAAAGCAGTTGATTACCCTCATAACAGTCATGCCTTTATTGCACCAGTGAGCCTGGTAGGTTAGTTTTGTAGCTCACGGATTCCTGATGAATTCTCTCCCTAAGCATCTTATACCTTTGGGCACAATGAAAGCTAGTCAGCAAGGAAGACATTTTCAGCTCAAATCCAATTTAATTTCTGAGCTTACTTCTTACCTTCATGTATCTGAAAGATGAGTCCAGGCTAGGTGTAGTGGTGCATGCTTGCAACCCCAGCACTCAGTAGTCTGAAAAAGGTGAATTACTGGGAGTTTAAGGCCAGCTTGGGCTACATAGTGAGATCCCGTATACTGGTTAGTTTTTCTTGTCATCGCCATAAGAACTAGTCACCTGGGAAGAGGAAACCTCAGTTAATGAATTGTAATATCAGATTTGGTCCGTGGGCATGTCTGTGGGCAAAGAGTCTTGATTATACGTGATTGGCCCCAGCCTACTATGGGCAGTGCTATTCCTGGGCAAGTGGGTCTGGGTTGTTTAAGAAAGCAAGCTGAGCAAGCCAGGGAGAGCATGCTTGTAAGCAGTGTTCCTCTGTGGTTCCTGTTTCAGTCTCCTGCCTTGAGTTTCTGCCTTGGCTTCCCTCGTGATGTTCTGTAATCTATAAGATGAAATAAATTCCTACCCAAGTGTTGTTGTTGTTGTAGTGGTTGCCACAGCATCAGAAAAACAAACTAGAACACAGTCTCTAAAAACAAAGACGAACTAACAAAAGATCTGAGAATGATTAATGACTTTGTCTTAATACCTGAAGTAGTGGGGTCCTGTCTTAGTTAGGGTTTCTGCTGTAACAAGACACCATCACCAGAAAGCAAGTTGGGGAAGAGGAAAGAATTTACTTGATTTTCGTTTCCACATCGCTGTTCGCCACTGAAGGAAGTCAGGACAGGAACTCAAACAGGGCAGGATCCTGGAAGCACGAGCTGATGCAGAGGCCATGGAGGGGAGCTGCTTACTGGTTTGTGTCCTATGACTCGATTAGTCTATCTTCTTATAGAACCCAGGACCACCAGCCCAGAGATGACACCACCCACAATGGGCTGGGTCCTCCCCCACTGATCACTAATTGAGAAAATGTCTTACAGCTGGATCTCTTGGAGGCATTTCCTCAGCTGAGGCTCCTTCCTCTCTGATGACTCTAGCTTGTGTCAAGTGGACACACAAAACCAGCCAGTACAGTTCCTTAGTCCTGGAATCAAATGCTAGACTTTCATATGGGGTATTATTCTGTGTTTGGAACATCTATCACCCATGTTTCTATTAGTACTTCTCCAGCAGTTAGCTCAAGTATTCTTTCCCAGAACCCTTTATGCTTCCAATCTAACACACAGAACACAGATATCCTTTATCACACTTCACTGTAGTCTACCTGCCTGTCTTCTCAGGTAGACTAGGTACTTTTGAAAGTAGATTTAAGTCTATTACTGTTTTTAAGGTCTTTGCTCATAAGGAACATTTGATATTTTTAAGTTAATAGTTGTCAACCTTCAAAGTTTTAAAGCTTAAAGCAGTAGGCTCAAAACTTTTAAACATGTAAATTGCAGATCATTTAATTATGTCATTTCATATGCAGACAGTGCTTGGACTTCCAGAAGAGTGGAATACCGCTGGTATTGTTGCTGGTAGAAAAATCTTAGGAGAGCATTTCTAGGAGAAAGCTCCCACGCTGACCTCAAGCTGTTTGTCTGTAGAACCCAGTACGCCAAGTTCTCTTCTCCTGACCCTGATCTACTTGGCTGTTTCCTAAGTGCAGCCACTGAAAGATGGGCTGCTAGCTGTTTATGGCCAGTTCTCTTGTGTTTAGGTTAAGGAGTACTGGGGGGGGGGGCGGTTATATGGCCTAGATATGTGTGTTTTCATGCATGTGCCTGGGCGAGAGAAGAACCGATGTACCCGTCACTTTTACAGTTTGCAACACCTCCTTGGCTGGGTGACATTTGGCAACCACGTTCTCTTTGATCCCTCATTTTCTCTGTCAAAGGACACTATTTGCACGCCTGACTCCACGGTTGCATTCTCACCCAGTCGTGGCCCAGAGTCCTGGCCCACACACTTATTTCTAGAGGAAGGAACCCTTCTGGCTGGTCTGAAAGAACCTGGTTCGTAAGGGCATGCCCTCGACTGGACACCAGTGGACACCGAAGCCGGACTCGCAACCGCCATGCGGGCGCGTGAGGATGCAGAACGGGCGCTTAAACCCAGACCGTTTCGGGGAAAACGCACCGGGGTCGAGGCTCGGGGCGGGGCGCGAGCACCGGAGGTGTCCTCCTGGCCAATAAGCGCCGGTCAGGCGGGACCGGCGGTGGCCGCTCGGGTGCGCGCGGGGCTGGGCGTACACGGTGACGCGCGGAGCCGGCCGGGCCAATGGGCGCAGGGTGGTGGCGGGCGGGCGGGCCCCGAGGCCTGGGGCTTTAGGAGGTGAGCGGGCCGCGGGCCGGCCTGACGCTGCTGCATCGCGGGAGGCGCATGGCGGGCATGGCGCTGGCGCGGGCCTGGAAGCAGATGTCCTGGTTCTACTACCAGTACCTGCTGGTCACGGCGCTCTACATGCTGGAACCCTGGGAGCGGACCGTGTTCAGTATCCTGTGTTTCCTGGCCTGGCCGGGGCTTGGAGGGGCGAGCGCGCTGGGTGGGGGTAAGGGAGTCTTACGGCCAAAGGAGGTGAAACCGCGGAGGTCGGGGAGTAGGGCGCAATTCTCCTGCCCAAGGTGGTGGCGTCCTGATTTCTGCAGGCTGTCGGGAGGGCGGCGTCTCTCCTGGTGCTTCATGCCCCGCTTCGGCCGCCCCTGCCTTTTGCTTCAGTCTCCTGGTACGAGGCAGGGACGATGCTGGTGGAGCAAATCGCTCCAGGCTTGGGCGTCTTTGACCCCTTAGCTATTCCTGATTTGATTGGCTTTGGAGTGACAGAACTCTAACCAGTTCACCAGGTTGTGAGTACGTGGTCGTGACACTCATACAGTTTTGGGAAGCAGTTTATAAGTTATTGTCAGGCCTTTTTGGTCTTCAAGATGGCAGTTTAAAAAGTGTGTTTTGTTTTATGATTTCTTCGCATCGTAAGTACAAGCTGTGCCCGGGACAGATTTGTGGTTACTTGTGGATGGGGTTTCAACCTGTGCTTTGCTGTGTAGTTTATAAATAAGAATTGTTAAGTGATGACTTTGCTGAGCATTTCGTCATACCTTACCTCACCTAATTTTGACAGCCCCAATGAACAACTCAAGATTGTGAAGTCTGGGATGTTTGTTGCTCCCAATGTCTATTTGGATACCCTCTGATATTATTTATGTGGACTAAACACTAACAATGCATCCCTTTTCTCTTCCAGTCCCCTCTCCTTAGTAAAATCTGAATTATTTCACATCACGTGTTTATTTCGTCAAGGCTTATCTTTCTGATGTGGTTTAGCTTCCTTAGGAACGACTTAACACACACATTGCTGCATGAAGACTGAGGTAGCACTCACTCCACGCTTTATCAAGGGTTCTGGTATTGGAGTAGCATGAGGATTTTGGAGCTGACTCTTGAAAAATTTTAGCTGCTTGCAAGACATTTTATTACCGTTGCTATTTCTTTCCTAACCTAGAATTTCATAACTAGAGTGCATATTTGGGGCTTTGAAATATAAAGTGCTGATTTCCTGCATTGTGTGTTTGTAGCTTGAGTTCAGTCTTTGGATTTTGTAGGTCAGGTAAAATGTACATTTAAATACATGTTTAATTGGAGCTTCTCAATAGTAGTAGGTAATCTTGACTGAAAATTGTCTTACTACACATTAAACAATGTTGTCAAAATAACAATAAAGAAAGCCAAATGTGGTGGTTCATAACTGATTGCAGTGTTCAGGAGGTTGATTCAAGAGGGTTGCTGGAAGTTCAAGGCAGCCTGGGCTACATAATACATAGCCAGTATCAGGCAAGCCAGGGTTACATTGCAAAACTCGAAGGAAGGAAGGAAGGAAGGAAGGAAGGAAGGAAAAGAAAGTGTTGGGGTGAAGTTTGAACGTCTTTAAGTCAGGTTGATGGTAAAGCTTAGTGTGGACAGTGGCAACAGTGTTAAGATTTTTCTGTGCTATGTTGTAGTAGAAACAGTGTCCTGTTTTGAAGACTAGAGAGAAATTATGGAGGGAAACCTAATGCCTCAGTAGATTTTGGTTTTGATGTTTTTGACTAATTGGATCTAGCTATGCTTCCAAGCTTGCCTATGTTGCCAAACTTGCCTGAAACTCAAAGTAATCCTCCTATCTTAGCCTCTTGAGTGCTGGTATGGTGTGGGCCACCATGTTTGCTGTAGTGTATCTTCTGCCATTACCTTTGGGCTTTCCTGTTACCAGGGAGGACTAAGTGGATGAAACAGAAGCTTAGTGAACCCTGTCTCCAAAATAGTAGCAGTAGCAACAGCATCATTGTTCGAGACCACATAGTATAGTGGTCTTCAGACATTTGGTGTATGTAACCCTCCCTCCAAAGGAAAAAAAGGTGGATGCTATGTTCCCTTGCTCATTTATGTTGATATAGGAGTCTTGTAGATAACTAGAAAGAATTCATTTATACATATATTTTAATACTTTTGTTAAAATGATTTTCTTATACAATTTATACAAAATGCTCATTGTATAATTGGCTAAACCAGTCTACACGGTGAAGCCAACAGGAAAAGAAAAGCTTTAATTTCTATCAGAAAAAAGCTGTCCCCCCTTTTTTTTCCCTGTTCAAATTATTGTGTCCAGGCCTAGGTGTGGTGGTGCATGTTTGCAGTCCTAGTACTAGGGAGGTAGCTAACTGTGGGAGCATCAGAAATTCAGGGCTAGCTTCAGCTACATGGTGAGTTTGAGGCCAGCCTTGGCTTCATGAAACCCTGTTCCACCCTAAACCACAAAACCAAACCAACCAAAAAAACATTGTGTTACAATAAACATTCCTGCTTTCCTTTGGATGAATAGAGACTTGGGGTCTGTGCCAGATGTCTGTTATCTGAATGAAAGTAAAACCTAAGTTATTATCCCTTCTTTGCTGTGGTAGAGGTTCAGTGTGTGGAGTCACCCCCACCCCCCACCAAATTGTTCTCTCTTGAGATTGAGGTAGATGGGAGAGTATGAGGAGGGGGATGGGAAGATTTGGTAGCCCAGGCGCAGTTCTCAGATCCTTGTTAGAAAACCGGAAGTTGTTCTCTAACTGGATTGTTGCAAACTTCCTGGGAGATTATTTCCTCAGTTCCAGTTTCTAAGCTTTGGTTTGTTTTGTCCTGTGTCTGTGTTGAGAATGTTAGAAAATCTACTATCTGTACTCCTTAGGCTTTTAAATAATGCTTTTCTTTAGTAGCTTATAGGAAAGGTGTAAGATAATGAAGATTATGCTTAAGGTCTGGGAAAGTCCTAGGGGCAGCCGTCCCTGCTGTTTCGCACAGTGCTTCGGTTTGTGAAACGAGCCATTTGTTACAATTTGTTAGTAGCAATGACTGAAGGCCTCCTTAAGCCTTGAGTATTGTGATGTTTATGACTCTTCTGAGATTAACTAAAAACAGATTCATTCTCTTTTAAGATTTTTTTATTTTTTATTTTTTAGAGCCTTGGCTGGCCTGGGACTCAGTATTATAGCCTCAAAATCAGAGGTCCACCTGCCTCCTGAGTGCTGGGATTAAAGGCGTTTGTTATTCTGTCTGGGCCAATTTGTTTTGTTTTAGTTTTTGTCTGTTTGTGGTTTTTTGAGACAGTGTTTCACTGTATAGTCCTGTATGTCCTGGAACTCACTCTGTAGATCAGGCTGGCCTTGAACTTAAACTCTGCCTCCAGAATGCTGCGATCAAAGGTGTGCATCATGGCCCACTCCTTGGTGGTAGCACATGCCTTTAATCCCAGCACTTGGGCATTTCTTTTTTTTTTTTTGTTTTTTTGTTTTTCGAGACAGTGTTTCTCTGTATTGTTTTGGAGGCTGTCCTGGAACTCGCTCTGTTTACCAGGCTGGCCTCAAACTCACAGAGATCCGCCTGCCTCTGCCTCCCGAGTGCTGGGATTAAAGGCGTGCGACACCAACGCTTGGGTACACTTGGGGATTTTTTAGTTTGAGGCCAGCCTGGTTCACAGAGGGAATTTCAGGACAGCTAGGGCTACACAGAGAACCTCTTTAAAAACAAAACAAAAAGAAATACACAAAAAGAATAAATTGGAGGTGGGGAAGCAGAGTGAGTTCCAGGACAGTCAAAGCTACATAGAGAAACCAGAAAACTCCAGGTATTCATATTTAATAGTTAAAAGCTAGGTTTCAGAGCTACCAGATAGAGTATATGTTGGAATGCTTGAAATAGTTATGGAGTGTTTGAGAGAACATTTGTACTAAATAGTTATAAGTAAAATTTCATTCATAAACTTCATTTTGGCCAGCATGCATTATGCATGTTCTGGACAATCCTCAGATAGTAGTGTTTCTTGGAAAACAGTATTTTAGCAGCCCCCTGGGAACTTGTGCAACTTACTAAGCAAGCCCTACCAGAAACGATCATTATCATCTTGGGGGACAATTTGATTAGCTCAGGTAGGCAGCTCAGTGTGGCTGGCAGCTGCCCCAGGGTTCATTAGAAATGCATGGATAGTGTTGAGTGGAGATACTAGTTGTCAGGTTTCTGAGGCTGCCACACAGGCTTTATGGGATAGTGCCACTAGCATCGGCTGAGAGCTGGGCCAGTCTGGAGATGTGTCTCTGGAGGTTGCTCTGCTGCAGATGCTAATTTCTAATTTTCTTAAAATAGAATCCAAAGGGCTTCTGCCTGTGCAGCAGCTGAGCTGAGAGATGTTTCCTGCTGAAGGTTGTCAGTCATTGCCCTCTAGTCTGGCTGCCCTACAGATGAAAAATCCCATATGAGGGGGCTCAGCAGTTAAGAGCACATACTGCTCTCACAAGGACAAAGGTTCAGGTTTTAGTACCCACATGGTGGCTCATGTCTGTCTGTAATTCCAGTTCCAGGGTGTCTAAACTGCTTCCCCTCTAAAAAAGAGGGAGAGACAGAGAGACAGGTCCCATGTGAATGATACAGAACCAGTTGCACGGAAGCTAACTGGTATTCTAGAAATAGGGACTGAAGCAGAACTCTGGGAAACCTCATACACACACACCCAGAACTGGGCCTTTAAATCTTTGAGAAGGCAGTAGACTAATTAATGAAAATACACATCTGTTTGTAAATTTGTGTCTGCAATCAGAGCTTCAGAAGATTTCCAGGGGTTTAGTTCAGGGTGAGGATGTTTTTCAGGGCATACCCAGTGTTCAACAGCATGACTTTTCTTTTTTCTTAAAACCTTTTGTGTGTGTGTGTGTATGTATGTATGATGTGTGTGTGTATGAGCTTGCGTGTGTACACTAGTGCTTGTGCAGAGGATTACTAAAGGGAGTGGGCTCTCCTTTTACCATGTGGGTTTCAGGGATCCAATTCAGGAACTGGGCTTAGCCCAAAGCTCCTTTACCCACTGAGTGCTTAGCAGCAAGCACTTTCATCCATCTTCCGGGTATTGTTTTTGTTTTATTTTTTCTCTTAGTTTGTAAAGAGTTCGGTGTATAAATTTTGGTTAGTGGAAACAATTCAATTCTT